GAGGAGTGGTGCCTCGGTGCGCACCCGGGATCCGAACCCGGGCCGCCGGCAGCAGAGAGCACGCACTTAACCGCTAAGCCACGGGGCCGGCCCCAGCATGGAGCGTTTTAAATATGACATGCATCCCTCAAACATACTGTTCTCTAAACAAAGACTCAAAGGGTGGTTCACTGCTCACAATCCAACTTTTATTTTTAAAAATTTAGTTTTAATCCATGAGTTCAATAATACTAAAGAAAGAATTATTTTTAAATGGGGGCAAGGAGGGAAGCAAAGTTCTTTATAGAAGAATGACAACTAATAAATATAGGACAAAGAACAGAAACAGAAAAATCATCATTTTACAATTGCCATAGTAATACTTGATTCAAGCAAGAAACATCAATGAATACTAAAACTGCTAGATAAAAGATTGTGTGAATATCCTATTCCCCAACAATCTCAAAATAACATCCTGCATCTAGCTATTATAAAAGGAAAAAAGCTACCTACATAAGGGAGAAAATCTGACAGACCCCACTTTAATGAACAACAGGACAAACTGACATCTTGAGGACACAGCCTCACCAATGCAGCATTCCAGCCAAAACTGTAACCTGAATCTAAACATGGGAAAACAATCAGACAAATCTAAACTGAGAAAGAAATAGTCTGCAAAACAACTGGCCTGGACTCTTCAAAAGTGCCAACGTCCTAAAAGAAAAAAAAAAGAGGATGGGGAACTAAACTAAAGGAACCCAGGGGCCCACCTGGTGGTGCAGTGGTTAAGTGTGCGCGCTCCGCTTCAGGAGCCCGGGGTTCACTGGTTCGGATCCCGGGCGCGCACCAACGCACTGCTCGTCAAGCCATGCTGTGGCGGCGTCCCATATAAAGTAGAGGAAGACAGGCATGGATGTTAGCCCAGGGCCAATCTTCCTCAGCAAAAAAGAGGAGGATTGGCATTGGATGTTAACTCAGGGCTGATCTTCCTCACAAAAAAAAGGAACCCAAAAAGATCTAAACACAATGCATAATCCTGGATAAAGTTCTAAAGGACATTAAGTACAAGTAGAGAACTTATGTTAAATTTCCTGATAGTGCTATTTGTATCGTGTTTACTCAGGAGAATGCCCCTGTTCTTAAGAGATACATGCTGATGTATTTAGGTATAAAATGTTATGTCTGCAACTTACTCTCAAATGGTTCAGGGGGGAAAATACATATATAAAGATAAATGGAAAATACTAAAATTGGTGATATAGAAGAGGGGTATATAGATATTCACTGTATGATTCTGACCATTTTTAAAAATAAAAAGTTGGCAAAAGCAAAGGAACAAACAAAAAAGGCAAATTAACCCATGAAAAACTTACAATTTTATATAAATTGTATAGTGTAAGACTTCAAAAAACTGTAGAGACAGAGGCTACTGCAGAATAAACAAACCTACTCTTTATGTCATTCAGAATATTGGGATCTTCACGGGACTGGTCTGCCTCACATACGGTCCTCCAGAAGTCCTGCTCTGCCACACTGGGGGCCTGGCCTTCATTTTGCAGACTTAGGGCCAACATGAAGTCCAAGTTTGCACTGTCTTCACCACCCTCTTTGGGGGGCTGTCGGCTTCTATTCCTTTCCTGCCTTTCTTGTTCTTCCACTGGAAAAAAAACAACCAGTACTCAAAATACATTAGAGATGTTGCCACCCCTCAGCTCAAGACCATGCCTAGCAAATATTGAAGGCTGACAGGCATCTGTGCAGGAACAAAAGCAGCCCAGCCCTCCAGTTCTCATAAGACTCCAAATATTAAGTCCGCCATGATAAAAGGCTCCATTATTATTCTAATTGTTTTATTAATAAGCAGTATTATTGGGCTGTAACTATGAGACAGGCACTGTCCTAGACATTTGACACACATTTTCTGCATCATAGCAGAATGGTTTAAAGCATGGAGTCAGACTGCCTGAATTAAAATCCCAGCTCTACTACTTACCTACCCTCATAAGACTGTTGTGAGAACTAAATGAGTTAATACACGTAAAGCACTTTGCAAATGCCTGAAGCACACAGGGTAGACTCAGTAAATGTTAGCTATTAACAGCATTGTCGTCATCATCAACCCTAACTGTAATCCAATAGCAAAGAGGTTCTGTCACTCCCATCTACAGGAAAGTCAGGTATTCTTCCTAAGGTTACCTAGCTACAGTCAGGTTTATATATAATTAAAAACTATTTGGCCCCAAAGCCCTGTTCCCATTTTCCCTGAGATTTTGATATCATTCCAGTTTTCTAATCCCAAACACAACTCACATAGATTATTCTGAATTGGAAATTGGGCTGTCATGTTCCTTTGGTTGGTAGTCCTACTATGGAAAAGGTCTGATTCAAAGGCTCTCAGGGACCTTCGGGGTAGCCTCATGGGTGGGTCCAGAGCCTCAATTTGTCTGAGGAGTTGGGATGCAATCCAGATTCCATCTTGACCCCAAGACTCATCATATGCATTAGGAGGCATGGCAACCTCATCTCTTTTTTCCTCCTCATCTCTCCCACAAACTTCAGGGTGAGTCTTCAGATCTTTCACCAGGACATTGCGCCCACAACTGCCACATAACTCTGTCCGGGCACCACAGTAATCTTCATGGTCCTTCAGTTTAAGAACAGAAAGTTCCAAATCACAGTGCTGGCAAAGGGCAAGCCGTAGAGGACACTCGGTCTCCTGCAACACAGAGTAATGAGGCAGTTACTATGCGGATCTAAGAGAGGCCATGTTTTAGTCCAGGGCAAAGAAAGCAGAAAGTAGACTTCAACATTTTCTTCCAACCCTAGCTTCACCTGCCATGCTTCTTTATGTATTTAAGAGTCACAGCTTCCCTCTTTGTCCCTGTCACCAGGTTCTACAAAAAGAAGGAAACTCTTAGAAGGAATTTACTCACTTAGCCACCCTATTATCATTTTGTGCACACATTACAAAGTAACCCAAAATCTTTGCCCAGGGCCAAATAGCAAAAGCATAACAATTCAGATATGTTTGCCAAAGCTCCACCAGCCCAATTTCCCGTTACTCCTCCAATTTGTCTTACGTACTTGGTAATGAGGAAAAGAGACTGCCCTTTGGAAAGACACTGATTTTTCTAATCTGATATACATTCTATATACATTTGTATATAGCACTGGCTTTAAATTGACCAAATAAGCCAGCAATCACCAATGAAGAGGACCCCAAGAGTGCAAATGTACTCAGTGGACAAAGGACAAAACTTTTATACTTAATTTGAAATTGTCACTAAAGTACTAAAAATTAAAAAGATATAAAATAATATGTTACTATGATATACACATTTCAAAACTTGGGAACTTAAGATCAGAACTTTAACATAACATCATTTAAAAACATACTTTATAACCACTGTGCCAAAGAGCAAAAATTTCTTTTCATGCAGATTAAACCCAAGTTCTATTCTAAATGCTACTTCAAACATTTTTAGCATTGTTTGTATATGCGTGGACTATCTCTTGTAGAAAACACAAGAAACTGATAAAGAGAGCCTAGGAACAGAGGTGGAAGAGAGACAATTTTTACATATATGCTTTTGTGGGTTTAAAACTATATACCGTGTAGCTATTATACCACTTCAGAAAGATTTTTCTTCAAGTTTTATTAGAAAAATGCCACTGATTTAAGTTACGCAACAGCAAAAGAGCAAATAATTGCTGGCACATACCAGATAATATAGTAAGTACTTTGTTAACAACCCTAAAAAGTGCTAGTAACTCACCAGAACAGCAAATAAAGTTTAAATTTTGGGGTGGGAGGCCAGCCCCGTGGCGTAGCAGTTAAGTGCGCGTGCTCCACTGCTGGCGGCCCGAGTTCAGATCCCGGGCGCACCGAGGCACTGCTTGTCAGGCCATGCTGTAGCGGCGTCCCATGTAAAGTGGAGGAAGATGGGCATAGATGTTAGCTCAGGGCCAGTATTCCTCAGCAAAAAGAGGAGGATTGGCATGGATGTTAGCTCAGGGCTGATCTTCCTCACAAAAAAAAAAAATTTTTTTTTAATTAAATTTTTTTTTTAAGGAGAATTTTTTAAAACTCTTTAGTTAATCTCTGGTCTACAACTGTCATAGTCTGACTTGCAGGAATGTTAGGAAATACTTTGTACTTGTACTTTTATAATGATTGATGTATTACCAAGTGAGTCCCAGATATAACTGGGAGAGAAGCTAGAAGAGGGGGCAATTGATTAGAGGTTGTTTTATGCAGCAGGTAGATGTCAGAGCCAGAGAAATACTCACCATCATTACTAATCTGACCTCAGTGATAACCCCACCACCTTGCTGGTGAGGCCTAGTAAAACAGAAGCCAGATGCTTAGAAAAAATAATGAAAGTAAGAGTGCTCAAGTATTAATGAGACGTTTATCTCTGAGCTATGGGGTTATGAGTGGTTCTTGTTTTCTTTTTACATTTTCCAAATTTTCTACACTGAATACAAATTATCTTTTTTTTTTTGTGAGCAAGATCGGCCCTGAGCTAACGTCTGCCAATCCTCCTCTTTTTGCTGAGGAAGACTGGCCCTGGGCTAACATCCATGCCCATCTTCCTCCACTTCATATGGGACACCGCCACAGCATGGCTTGACAAGCGGTACATCAGTCCACACCCGGGATCCGAACCAGCGAACCCCGGGCCATCGCAGCAGAGTGCGCACACTTAACTGCTTACGCCACCAGGCTGGCCCCCAAATTATCTTTTAAAATTATAAGTTATTAGCTTTTTTAGGTACATAGAATGAAATGCACAAATCTTTTTTTTTTTTTGAGGAAGATCAGCCCTGAGCTAACATCCATGTCAATCTTCCTCTTTTTTCTGAGGAAGACCAGCCCTGAGCTAACATCTATTGCCAATCCTCCTCCTTTTTTTTTTTCCCCCCTTTTTCTCCCCAAAGCCCCAGTAGGTAGTTGTATGTCATAGTTGCACATCCTGCTAGTTGCTGTATGTGGGATGCCGCCTCAGCACGGCCCGACAAGCGGTGCATCGGTGTGTGCCCGGGATCTGAACCCGGGCCGCCAGTAGCGGAGCCCACGCACTTAACCGCTAAGCCACGGGGCTGGCCCCTGAAATGCACAAATCTTAAGTGCATATCTTGATGAATTTTTACACACATATACACACTCCTGTTTCACCACCAACTAAATAGTTGTTGGGATCTTTTAACTGATGAATTAATATGCTCATTCAAGGGGGCTGGCCCCATGGCTTAGCGGTTAAGTGAGCACGCTCTGCTATTGGCAGCCCGGGTTCAGATCCCGGGCACGCACCGATGCACTGCTTGTCTGGCCATGCTGAGGCGGCATCCCACATACAGCAACTAGAAGGATGTGCAACTATGACATACAACTATCTACTGGGGCTTTGGGGAGAAAAAGGGGGGGAAACAAAAAAGGAGGAGGATTGGCAACAGATGTTAGCTCAGGGCCGGTCTTCCTCACAAAAAAATAAAAAGAAAGAAAGAAACACTGGGCTGGCCCCGTGGCTTAGCGGTTGGGTGCGCGCACTCTGCTGCTGGCAGCCCGGGTTCGGATCCCAGGCACACACCGACGTACCACTTCTCCGGCCATGCTGAGGCTGCATCCCACATACAGCAACTAGAAGGATGTGCAGCTATGACATACAACTATCTACTGGGGCTTTGGGGGAAAAATTAATTAATTGATTAAATTAAAAAAAAAATGCTCATTCAAAAAAAAAGTATGCTCATTTGACTATGGCCAGTTTTATCTCAACTAGGGACCAAATGTTCTCTCTCACCAAATGCTCTCTGAAGAATTTCTTTGGGTGTAAACAGCATGTTATCCAAGTGATCAAGAAGTCAAAACGAAATTACAAGATGTAAGGCAGGCTGTGTGCTGAAGAGGTCATCCCACACTGACTACACAAGGCTTGGCTTAGCACTCAGTGAGGCTGCCAATAACCAAACCCCAGCAGAAATGATAGACCCAGTTCCAAAGGTAAAGGCTCTGAGGCCTGAGCATGGGGCACAACAGCCCTGCAGCCGAATCTGGCAGCAGTCAAAGTGTCAAATAGGCTTTGAGAGGCAGTGTGCATGGAGCTGGTAGAGAACAAAAACTCAACCAGACTGGCTTCTGCTCTGCACGTGGCTCTATAATCTCAGTAGCACTGGCTCCATGGTAACTCACTCCCTTCACAGTACAGGGAAACTAACCTCGTGCTTCTTTAACTGCCTCTTCTCCAACTTCTTATTACATTTGCAGGTTACCTAGGGTAAGAAGTAAGAACATAAATTGGCTTTGTGACAACATGCTCACTTGCTATTGCACAATAGCAAGTATAACACACTTATGAACATTTGAGTACTTGGTGGTTCACCTGACAGTGTTCCGTAGCCATGTGAGTCTCCATGTCAGATTTGGGAAATGGTTCCTTGCAGACAGGACACACACCAATGTTCCTTCGACAGTGGAGCTCATGGATGGTAAAGTTAAACACAGGAATTTCTTTTTTGCTATAGAAATAGATCACAAAAAAAGGAAAGCATTACTGACAGACCTATGCACAGTAGTATCACATGGAAATCTGTTCTGTCCAATCTTTAGTCTCCATTCTTTCTCTTTAATGAATATCTAGTCTATAAGCTCTTATGATTGCTACTACCCTTGCTTTTCAAGAACTCTTGGAAGTTTTGAGTCTTCTGTGCAACACTCTGAGTCATCAGTGCTATGCACTACCTCTGAAAGCTCAGCCTCATCTTCTAGACGTCAGAGCTAATCACAACCAACGCCATGAAGTCAGACGCTGAGAAGTGAGCTAGGCTTTTCCAAAACCGTCCATGCCCCAAAGCACAATGACACACCTCAGGATTACAAAAAAAGCCTACCATTTATTTTCACTCTCAGTCCAAGGTAGGTTTAAGCTCATTAGATTTATTCCACTAAAGTCAAACCAAAAAGAGCAGATGCCAGCTTTGGGATAGTCAGTAGGGAAGAAGAAATTGCCTCCTTTATGTCCCACATGCCTTTCAAAGCAGGGTGAATCCTAGTTAGGAATATGCTCTCTGGCTGGGTTGGTATAAACTTCACTGCAGAACCATACAAAAATTAAGTCTTGACCTCTTCCCCCAGTCTTGTCTCCTCACTCACTTTTTGCCATTCTCCTTTAGTTTAAGGGATCCAATTAAAGATCATATCTAGGTTATAGAAAAGAAAGGAGGAAAACGACAATCTTAAGTGAAAGAGTGAGACCATTTAAATTTAACAAGAGTGTACATACACTCACACTAAGGGCACAGAGTGTTCAAAGGCCTTACTTTTTACTCATTTGGATATGACCACTGGAAAAGTTCAATTTCACAGTCTAGTTAAAGACTGCATTGAAAGAATGTGCCTCAAAGTATGTCACCTAGAATAAAATTTCAGAAAAATACTGAATAGGATAAATATAGATAGTTATATAGCTAATCTTTAATATTTTATTTTGTCCCTGAAGCTGAATACTATTAGAACCCTCTCCCACACTAAGTTGTAGATAGCTTATTCCTCTTTTATAGTTTTAATCTTCATACACAGACTACAAAACACTTCAAAGCAGGATCACTGACATGCCTCCAGCTATAGTCATACTCCCAATCTGAAAGACCAAGACACCAAATAAATGTAAATTCATTTTCATCCAATGGTAGAACTATCAAGGCAGCTCTCATAGCAAAACTGGAAGGTAACACAGAACAATCAACTCTGAGAGATGGGAAGAAAACGCAATGGATAAGGAAGGAAACTAGCAATGTCTTGACAGATTTAACTTCTCCTATTTCTTCAAAATCCCTAGCTTTCTAAGGAAACCACTGATTTTAAATTAATTCAGTTTAAGATTTTTTTTAACTGTAGAATATTAAGATATATAGTAGAAGGAGCCATAAATCAAAGTTATCATCTAAACCTATTAAATTAACAAAAATTAAAATTAATAAATCCCACTATTAAGGATGTTGTGAAACTAGCATTCCAAAACATCACGAGTAGTAGTGTAAATTGCTTAAAAATAGCCTGAAAATGTGTTTCTACAACCATAAAATTATACATTCTTTAATCCAGTATCCCACGCTTGGGATGATGAAGATTTTCATTAGTGTTATAAAATGGTAAAAAAATGAAAATCATTAAAATATTTAAACAATAAGGAAACAGCTAAGTTAAATACAGTACACCAACAAAGTAAAAGAAGCAGAGCTATATCATGATTATAAATCATATGCGCACAAATGCCACAAAAAATTAAAGCCAGCAATTACTGCTTGGGATGCTGAGATTCTGGGTTCTTTTTTCATAATTTTGACAATAATTCTCTTTTAACAGCAAAAAAAAGAAAAAAGATCAAGAAAATAAATGTTTATAGTTTTTATTTTACAGGGCTATTCAGGATAACCTATTGACATAGAGCATTTTATATACACAAGGCAACTAAAATTTCAGAATTATAACAAAAAATATTAAGGATCACATAATCATAACATGAAGCAAGAATCAAAAGCAGCTGTCAGGGGCCGGCCCCGTGGCTTAGCGGTTAAGTGCGCGTGCTCTGCTGCTGGCGGCCCTGGTTCGGATCCCGGGTGCGCACCGACACACCACTTCTCCGGCCATGCTGAGGCCGCGTCCCACATACAGCAACTAGAAGGATGTGCAGCTGTGACATACAACTATCTACTGGGGCTTTGGGGGGAAAAAAATAAATAAATAAAATCTTAAAAAAAAAAAAAAAAACAAAAGCAGCTGTCGGGAAGACCACAAAGCATTTACTATTACACATTTTCACCTCTTAGGAAACCATGAAAGAAAAGGAAAAATATTTGCAACAATTACATGAAACAGTTGCCTGCTGATTTTCTTTTTAAATTTAACTGCCAAGATAGTCCCACCAAACATTTCAATCAGACAAAATACCAATATACTTGCTTCCTACCTACAGATACAATCAAGATGTGTTAAGTGAGATAAATGAGAATATAATTCCATATCTAAATAAAACTGCTAAAAGCCCCAAGGAAGAACTAGCAAGTTAAAGATGAAATTTCATTTTAGATAGAAATGACTGAAAGTCAAGCCAAGGCTTCCAGAAAAATTTTCAGTAGCCTTCCAAATGTTAAACACAGTAAGCCAGAAATCAGTTCTTTACTACATGCAAAAATAAAAGGTTGAACCTTCTAACATTGAAGCTTCTGTTCCCTAAACAGAACTCTCCCCCTAATCAGTGATAGCATAAGAAAAGAGATAATATGCAAAAACATCTTCAATCACAACAAACTATTCTTTTTACTGGCCCAGTGGGTCTAATCACAGCTCACATTTTGAAGAGTACCTTAACTTTTCTTAGGGAACAATAGGAATATGGCTCTAAAGACAAAAATTTAAAACCTGGAATTTAAACAGGGTTACTTAGATGGAAGGTCTGTGAAAGTTTAGTCAGTCTTCCATGTTAATCTGCTTTTTTCTTTAAATAAATTGCTTTGGCTCTGAATAACTTTGTTTTCATTAGCGTTCCATTAACTTATCCTTTTTTTAACTCCTTTAGCATTGTTATTTATATATTTTCCTAGGATTTATTTATTTATTTTTAAGAGATTTATTTATTTATTTATTTTTCGTGAGGAAGATCAGCCCTGAGCTAACATCCATGCTAATCCTCCTCTTTTTGCTGAGGAAGACCGGCTCTGAGCTAACATCTATTGCCAATCCTCCTTTTTTTTTTTTCCCCAAAGCCCCAGTAGATAGGTGTATGGCATAGTTGCACATCCTTCTAGCTGCTGTATGTGGGACGTGGCCTCAGCATGGCCGGAGCAGCGGTGCGTCCGTGCACGCCCAGGATCCGAACCCCGGGCTGCCAGTAGCGGAGCACGCGCACTTAACCACTAAGCCACCGGGCCGGCCCCTGTCCTAGGATTTAGATTCCTTCAAATTGGAGTGCACTGATAAAATAAGAAAAATCTTAACTGACGCTAAACCCAGTATGTCTGTTTTCTTATAAAATCATAATGATTTTTTTTGTGGTTACTTGTATCATTGATTACTTTGTATTAGCAATAGTACATATAAAACCCAAGCAAAGCTATAATAGTTTTTAAAATGGCAGAAAGTGATAGTGGCAAAGTAGGAAAAAATATCCTATAAGGCAAGATACCCTCACAGAAATGAAACCTTAATTCCATGCAGCAGGGAAAGAATATTGTAGCCAGCAGATGCTCTGATTATATCCTAATCCTGCCCAAAGGCTGAGCAGAAAGAAGGCAATAAAAAAAGAAAAATTGTTATCTGGCTTGAACCTTTCACCAATCTGCATCAAACTATTTTCCTTATTCAACAACTCTTTCCTTCTACCGCAGTTTGGTAAGTTAAACATAGGAGACAGTTCTGCTTTGCTTTTTTTCTTTTGTTTTCAGTAAGAGCACTTGTATATCACTAAAATACCAAGTTCCTGAGAAATCCCAACCAGGAATCAGCTGATTAGCTGCACTCCTAAGTTTCATTTCAGCAAGAAAGAGTTGCTCTTTCTTGTCACTCACGTAGGTTAAAAACACCAAAATAGAAAGCTTAACATTCAAGACTGCGCCCAGCCTTCACTAACAGTTCTGGAATCACAAAATGATAATGATTAAGCTGGACTGCTGGAAGACTTTGACTTTTTTTTTTAAAGCACTGGAACATTCCTTCAGCAAAATCCTTTATGAAAACAGTTGAGCTGCCCTGGTTGAACTGCTCTCTCACTACTAGATGTAGAGCCAAGCTCACTTAACCTTGTTCCCAAAGACAGCCACTGTAGCCACTCAGGGAAATCTTTGCAACACACTTTGAAAAACACCGATCTAGTCCAAATATTTTATTATATTTTTAGTATCTTTTTAAAAACATATGATATTTTTCAGAAAGACAAAAAATAAATTCCCTTATTTATAGGTCAGAAAAGTGAGGCTCCAAAGCAGTCAAGTGACTTGCAAAAAGTCATTAACTAATTAAAGGCAGGAACCAGAGCCCCAACTCCCAGCTTTATCCCATCACTCTAGTCACTACTCAATGCTACCTAAACCAACTATCTTGCCAGATTACTAAAACAGGCAATTTTATCCAAATTGTTAAAAGGGCTTTAGTCCCACATATTTGCATGACATATTATATGGCTCCAATTTTAACCTGCCAATAAATAATCAAACACTTTACACAGAAGCTAGCTTGTCCTCATTCCAATAACATTTCTTAGATGTAATTTCTCACCAGTTGTCACACAGTCGAGTGTCCTGGTCATCTAGAAATTCAGCCATCTTGAGCTCTTCCTGAAAACTACAAAGGAAGAAGTGTGAACTTTCAATTTCATTTCTGCTTTAAGCATGACATGGAAAACACACAAACAAAAAATAGTGCACAGAAAATGTCACCAAAACTAGTGTGTTAAAGCATTTTATTTAATACCCAACACACTTGGGTTTTACTTTCTATCACTTTTTAATTTTCATTTTAAAATCATTTGACATGCCCAAACAAGCACAAAGAACTGCCATATACCCCTCACCCAATACATCATAAACAACCAAAGTAAAATTATCAAATGTAGGAAACTAATACAATACTAGTAACTAAGCTATAGATCTTATTCAAATTTCAGAAATCATCCCACTAATACCCTTTTTCTGGTTCAGGATCCAATCCAGGGTCACATATTGCATTTAGTTGTTATTTCTCTTCAACCTTCTTTAATCTGGCATATTTTTTCAGCCTTTCTTCATCTTTCACAACCTTGTTAAGTGTACTGGCTAGTTATTTTGTAGAATGTCCTTCAATTTGGGTTTGTCTGATGTTTTTTCATGATTAATACATTTTTGGCAAGAACACCATAGAAGTGATGCTGTGCTCATCTTGGTGCATTATGTCAGAAAGCACATGATGTCAGCAGTCTTATTTTTACAGGTGATGTTAACTTTGGTCCCTTAGTTGAGACGGCGCCTGCCAGATTTCTCCACTGTCAAGTTTTTCCTTCTTTTTAAGCAAGATGTCAGTGCTGAAAGCAGACCACTGGCAACTTTATTACCAATATTTACTTTAGATTATTTCTTCCCCCCCCAAGCCCCAGTAGATAGTTGTATGTCATAGTTGCATGTCATAGCTGCACATCCTTCTAGTTGCTGTATGTGGGACGCCGCCTCAGCATGGCCAGAGAAGCGGTGCGTCGGTGCGCGCCCGGGATCCGAACCCGGGCCGCCAGCATCGGAGCGCACGCACTTAACCACCAAGCCACGGGGCCGGCCCTAGATTATTTCTTTATAGGGCTCTTTTTAACGGTTTTGACATTTCCAAACTAACTCACTTTTCAAAAAAAGTATTCATTCATTTGACATGTTAATTAAGATCCTGTGTGCCAGAAACCGTGCCCCGGCAGTTTCTTTACAAATTAAAGAAACAAGCGTGTCATCTAATAGATGTAGTACACAGAAAACAAGCAAAGAAATAGATATACCTTAAGGTGAGTATTCTGACGGAAAAGTACATAGACAGAGTGGAGCGAATCTACTTTAGATAAAGGTGGTGAGGGAAGAACTTTCTGAGACGACATTTAAACTAAGACCTGAAGTGCCAAGAGCCAGCCATGTAAAGAAGACAGAAGATGGAAGTGGGGAAAACCCATTCAGACAGGGGCCTAGAAGGCAATCAAAGAGAAAGCAAAGGTAGATGTGGAAGAGCATACTGGAAAGCGGCAACGACTCGCGAAGGGCCGATCCCGTAGCACAGAGCGGATACTGCACTATACTCCACGCTCATGGCTCAACCACAGAAGGGTCTGACGTGACTCAAGATCTCCACTCGGATGTGAAACGCCAGCTAGGGATGGAAGCACCTAGCTATGCAAAGAGAGCCCGCTTCCCAGGGCTGTCCGGCTGACTCCCGGTGCCACCCACTCCAGCCAGAGCCTCCCACGAGGGAGGCGCCCCGTTTTCTAGCTGCAGGGGACGGGGGGTGGCATGCAGCGCTCGGGGTCCGCCCCTTTGAGGGTCCAGTTCCGGTTCTGCCACTCAGTACACGTGTGATTTAACCTCCCTGGGCCTCCAATTCCCCACGCCGACAACTGGCCACCCTTCCAAGGGTCACAGCGAGGAGTCAAGGGGCGAAGGCAAGCCTTCAACCTCGGAGGAGCCCCTCTCCGGGACTTCGGGGGCCGCCGCTCTACCCGAAAGGGCGGGGCTCGCACCTCGGGGTCCAGCCCCCGGAGGCCGTCTCCAACCGCCCCTCCCGGCGAAGTGGGGAGGGCGGGGAGCGGGAGCGCAGCGGCACCGGCTTCGCCAACAACGGCAGTAACGCTTCCCGTGCGCTTACTGACGGCTCAACGCCTCACACGGACAATCTCCTCGTCCAGGCCACACGCCCAGGAGGAGAAAGTCACTGTCCCCATTTGAGAGACCGCGAAAGCGGAAGTCCAGGGAGACAGTGGCCGCCCCACGGCTGGTCGGTGGGGACTCGAACCGGGCCCGTCGACCCACAGCCCGCCCCAGGCCCCCGCGACCCCCACGCCGGCAGCTCGAGGCCGGGCCGGGGCGCGGTGCCCACCGCGGCGCTCCGGACGACGCCCGCTTCCAGCCGCCCGGGCCAAGGCCGGGAGGGGCGGCGCCGCCGGGAGTCGCGGCTCCGGTCCCCTGAAGACAGGGCGCGGCCTCCCCACCGGCCTGAGGGGACTCCGCGACGCGGGCATCCTTCCCCTGACGACCGCGACCCCCGGCCCAGAGCCCCTCGCCCACACGCCCCGCCCGCGGGATGCCGGCCGCCGCCCGAGCTGGAGGCCGCCGGAGACCCCCAGGCGCCGGCCGCCGCTGCACTCACCAGGGACGAGAAGAAGGACGTCGAGCACACCAGCCAGGCACGGACAACCAGCCTGCTCAATCGGCCCCGAACACTGAACAACGGTCCCCACAGCCGCCTCACCACTTCCGACCATCTCGGAGGAGCGCGCCCATTGGCCACGGGCGGCCCCGGCTGTCGGCCATTGGATAGCACCGTTGTCGCTCCCAGGGCCCCGCCTTCTGCGCGCGGATTGGCTCCCCAGAGCTCCACGGGGGCGTGTCCCTGGAAGTCCCAGCCCTTGCGCATCTGTAAAGAGGGGTAGAGAGACTTGAGTTGTGAGCCTGGTTCTGGGCCCAGCAACTGCCCCTAACACAGGCTAATAATATTTTCATGAATAATACTGTACAAACATTACTAATACCCCTAAAATATTAAGATAATTAATAGCATTTGTTCTCTTGTCATGAGCCATTAGTACTCATTAGTCATTCTTGTTGCTGTTATATTGCCCTCAGTGCAAGACACCTGCAAGGCTCTGCTCATGTTTGAGCGCTTTGCTTTTTGCAGTGGAAGAGCGAGCCCCTCAGATGCAGGTTGGAGTCCCAGTTCCCGCACTTGCTGCCTATAAGGATTCTCTGAACTCCTCTTCCCTCATGAGTTAAAAAAACAGAATAAATATTTAAATATAACCAAGAACATATTATTTACAATACAGCAATTTAAAATCATAATTTTACCACAGATTATAATTTAAAAATGTTCATGATACAGTGCTAAGCAGGAAAAACAGATCACAAAGCATTATTTATTTGTAACAGAATAGAATATTTATTTTATTTTATTTTTTTGTGTGTAAGGAAGATCAGCTCTGAGCTAACATCTGATACCAATCCTCCTCTTTTTGCTGAGGAACATTGGTCCTGGGCTGACATCCGTGCCCATCTTCCTCTACTTCATATGGGAGGTTGCCACAGTATGGCTTAACAAGCGATGCATTGGTGCACGCCCGGGATCCGAACCTGTGAACCCTTTGGCCGCCAGAGCGAAGCACACACACTTAACCACTGCGCCACCGGGCCAGCCGTAGAATATTTAGTTTAAATATGCAGTATATTCTGGGTGATTCCAAAGATATAAAGTTCAAAAACAGACAAAATTAATCTAAGGTGAAAGAAGTCGGAATGGTTCCATTTGGAGGGTATGGAATGCAAGGGAATATGAGAAAGATTTCCAAGTCCTGGAAATGTTCTATATCTCGATCTGCAAAGTGGTAAACACAGATGTATTAATCATTAAATAGCCACTAAGCTGTACACTTAAATTTTCTTTTTTTTAATTTTATTTATTTATTTATTTCCCCCCAAAGCCCCAGTAGATAGTTGTATGTCATAGCTGCACATCCTTCTAGTTGCTGTATGTGGCACGCGGCCTCAGCATGGCCGGAGAAGCGGTGCGTCGGTGTGCACCCGGGATCCGGACCGGGCCTCCAGCAGCAGAGCGCGTGCACCTAACCGCTAAACCATGGGGCCGGCCCTAAGCTGTAGACTTAAGATTTAAACACTTTACATTGTATGTTAAAGAGAACATACCATTCAATGTTGTTCTGCACCTTGACCTTTTTTTGTAATACTACATAATCTGTCGTGGATTAATAATCTATCCATTATTAGCACATCTATCTAGAGCATTGTCATTCTTTTTCAATAGTAATTCCATTGTATGAATGTACTGAAGCTGGGTTCTTGAGGGTTACTGTAAATATTCAATAAGATTACCTTTCGACTCTTTTATAAAAAGAAGTTAATCTTGTCAATTTGCTGTTTTCTTGTGTAACCTGAGGGGTGACTCAAGGGTCACAAGGATTTTTTTTTTTTTTTTTTTTTGGTGAGGAAGATCAGCCCTGAGCTAACATCCATGCCAATCCTCCTCTTTTTACTGAGGAAGACTGGCCCTGAGCTAATATCCACGCCCATCTCCCTCCACTTTATGTGGGATGCCACCACAGCATGGCCTGACAAGCAGTGTGTCTGTGCGTGCCCAGGATCCAAACCCAGGCCACCAGCAGTGGAGTGCGCGCACTTACCCTCTACGCCATGGGGCCAGCCCAAGGGTCACAAGGATTTATGAGCTGGTTCTACAGAAGAAAAAGAATGCCTTCAAGGATCACCAGATAACCAGCCCCCAGCTGCCACTGACACCTAGAAGTCAGATTGCCCAAGGTGCTTATTGGGAGTGAAAGAAATACAGATTACCACTTTGTTTCTCTGCAATTCCTCCTGCCAACCCTTTAGCTCTATAAAATACCCTGCTTTCTTCTCTAGTTAAGGCAGATTTGAGAGAACCTATCCTCCTGCCTTCTCGTTTTGGCCAATTTGAATAAAATTTTCTCCATCTCCAAGCACCGATGTCTCAATAATTGGCTTACTGTGCATCAGGCACAGGAATTTGAGATTAAGAGGTTCAGTATCAGTACCATGATTTATTCAACTAGTTCCCTGTTGATAGACATTTTGGCTATAAAGTGTTATTTTTGAATACAGCGTAACCAATACCTGAAGTCCAAACTACTTCAGCACCAGCCCCGTTGATCTGTTCAGCAAAGGTATAGAGCACACCCTATGTGACAGGCCCTAGGTAAGACTCTGGAGCTTCGATAGCAAACAACAGAACCAGCTCCTGCCTTCCCAGAGCTTACCAGGGAGACAGGCACAATGGTAATGACAATGAGTGTGATACGTGCCATGGTATAATAAAGAATATATCTGGTTTTGATCCCTGATTCCTGGCACAGAGCTTCAAAAAAACCTTGGCATTTCCTGAGTGATAGGACTGTCTTTGTTATGCTAATGAGGTGACTCAAGGTGGGACCCTAGGTAGCTTCAGAATGGTGGGCTGGTCACCAGAAAGACCAAGCAAGTGATTAGTGGATTGGATCTTTCCACCTCTGGGGAGGGGAGGGGTCTGCATATTGAGCTCAATCACGTGAGCAATGATTTAATTAATCAAGCCCAAGGTAATAAAACCCCAGTAAAAACTCTGGGCACCTAGGCTCCAGGGAGCTTCCTGGTTGGTGAACATATTGATGTGTCAGGAGCACGATGCCCTGACTCTACAGGAAGAAGGCACAAAAGCTCTGCATTGCCCCTCAGACTACACCCTATGTGTCTTCATTGGCTGTTCCTGATCTGTATCTTTTATAATAAAACTGTAATTGTAAGCATAGGACTCTCCTGAGTTCTGTGGGTCATTTTTTTTTTGTGAGGAAGATCAGCCCTGAGCTAACATCCATGCCAATCCTCCTCTTTTTGCTGAGGAAGACTGGCCCTGGGCTAACATCTGTGCCCATCTTCCTCTACTTTATATGAGACACTGCCACAGCATGGCCTGACAAGCGGTGCATCAGCGCATGCCCGGGAACCAAACCGGGGCTGCCAGCAGCAGAGCGCGCACACTTAACCACTACGCCATGGCCCTCTGTGGGTCATTTGAGTGAATTATCAAACCTAAAGGAGTCATGGGAACCCTGAATTTATAGCCTGGGTTGGCCTGGGGACCCCCAAAGTGTGGCTGGCAATTGAAGTGAGAGCAGTGTTGTTGGGAACTACTAGGATCTGTTTTTTACTCACCGTAATTCACTTCTGGCAATAAATATGTAGAGATTTTCCTCACACCAACAACCAGTCTTCCAACTCTTCAGCCTTTAGCTGGGTATCCTATAATTTAATTCAATTCTGACACTAACTATCAGAGGAGTTAGCATCAGATCCCACAAGTTAAGGGCTCAGTCCCACAAGACTGCTCCCTCTTCCCCCACTTCAGATGCCAGTCACAAGTCCAATTTGTCACCTGTGCTTCTGACTAATCGGCTATAAATTGAACACAACCCCCTGTTCAGGTTTAATAATTTGCTATAATGGCTCACAGAACTCAAGGAAACACTTTACTCACATTTACTGGTTTACTGTAAAGGGCATTATAAAGGATACAGATGAACAGCCAGATAAAGAGGTACATAGGGCGAGGTCTGGAAGGGTCCTGAGCCCAGGAGCTTCTGTCCCATTGGAGTTAGAATGTGCCTCCCTCCTGACACATGGATGTGTTCACCAACCCAGCAACTCTCCAAATTCCATAGTTTAGGGGTTTTTATCAATTATGCACAGGCATGATAGATTAAATCATTGGCCGTTGATGATTAACTCAATCTCCAGTCCCTCTCCCCTCTCCAGAGCTGGGGGGTGGAGTGGAGTTGAAAGTTCCAACACTTTAATCACATGGTTGATCCCTCTGGCAACCAGCACCCATCCTGAAGCTGTCTAGGGGCCTACCAAGAGTCACCTTATTAGCATAAACTCAGGTATGGTTGAAAGGAGCTTATAATGAATAACAAGAGACATTTCTCTCATCCCTAATACTTAGGGAATCTCAAGGGTTTTAGAAGCTCTTGGGCCAGGAACTAGGACAAAGACCAAACATTTATTTTTTGTTATACCATCATATCATAGGGACTGAGCCCTTAAACCTGTGGAGTCAGGTGCTAACGCCAGGTGGTTAGCATCAGAATTGAATATGTACACCCAGCCTGGGGGTGAAACTGATTAGGTGCTTTAATGGAAAAGCCCAGTAAGGGTATTAGACCATGCAACCCACAGAGAAAGTCCACAAAGTCTTTGGATCCCAACAATTAATTAGATGAAGTCTCTGCCTGCAGTGAATTTAGGTTATTTGTGAACAGGTTTCTGAATTTTGAAACAGATTTCCCATAGCAGTAGTGTTACAGTAGTGATTCCAGTCTCAAGCCGACCCACAAAATGTTATTCAACTTATAACAAAACTTTCCAGCAATCCTGTGAACTAAACACAATCCTTTCAACAAAAATTTCTTTTCACTAAATCAGCCAGGGTTGGGTTTTGTGTATTGTAATTAATAATCTTGTCTCATAAAAAAAGCATTATAAGAACTTGAATCTCTGAGAATATATCTCCTTCCCCCACCCACATATCCTGCAGCCACAGCAACAGAAAGGGAGTAATTTTTCCCCTCCTTAAAACTGTTATGCCTTTTC